CCGAATAAATCTGGACAAATTTCAAGTCATTCTTGTTTAACTTGTTAATAACTTTATCACATGATGTGATATGTCATTTTGTAGAGAATTTAATTCTCTATAATATGAAATTATTTTGAAATTTGAGTTTTATTAAAAATGGTTAAAGTTAACACATTAAAAGAAGAAAATATAAGAAAAACTATGTACCAGTTCATTAAAAACCATTCGTCTTGGACTAAACCACAGATTGTTAAACACTTTCAAGAGAAAGGAATTCCTAGATCAACCTGCTATAATATTTTAAAAAGAATGGAGAATAAAATACAACCTAAACGGAAAGTTAGAAGTAAACCACTGGTGTTAAAAATGGCCAAAGCAAAAGTTACACTTTTAAAAAATTAAATTTATCGTCACCATGGAATTAGCCAATGTGCTCTTGCCAAAAAATTTGGTGTGTCTAAATCAACAATATTTAGAACGATAAAACAGAAGACAAACATCAAATATTACAATAAGAAAAAAGCGCCTAAAAAAACTATTAAGCAAAAAGAGGTTGGGCGTGCAACATGCTATCAACTTACCAAGCTTTTTTGCAAAAAACAAGTCATAATTGATAAAGAGTCTTATTTCGGTTTGAGCAACTTCGAGTTGTCTGGAAGTTCAGGATATTATTTGAGCGATCGTGTCATTACGTCAAATGAAGTCAAACTTAAAAAAGTTCAAAAGTTTGAACCTAAATTGTTGGTCTGGGTAGCATTGTCTCCTAAAGGTAGGTCAAAACACTTCATTGTACCATCGGGTCAAGCTATTAATGAAGATGTTTACTCAGATAAGTGCTTAAGATCTAGATTCATTCCATTCATTGAACAGTACCATAAAAATGATAATGTAATCTTCAGGCCTGATTTAGCATCGTCACATTATTCAAAAAAAGTTCAAGTATTCTTAAATTCAAAAAACATTGAATTTGTACCAAAAGAGAGATATATTGCTAACACTCCAGAACTTAGACCAATCGAAGATTTTTGGAGTGAAATCAAATGAACAGTTTATGCTAAATGCTGGCAAGCTGAAAATTTGGAACAACTTTGT